CCCCCGCGCCCAGAGACACCTCCCAGGCCCTGGAGATCACCCAGTACTTCTTCGAGGCTGTCTCCACGCAGATGGAGAAGTGGTACGAACGGAAGATAGAGGAAGCCCGGTGCCAAGCTAACCAGAAAGCGCAGCAAGACAAAGCTGCGCTCCAGGAGCACATTAAGAGCTTAGAAGAGGAGCTCAGCAAACTGAGGACTAAGGTGCAGAAAGAGAGCTAGCATCTGCCAGATGCCGCCTGAAGACAGGCAGTGGGGACTCCCTGTGGAACCTGCTGTATGGGCATCTGGAATACTGACAGATCTATACACTTGTAGTGCCTGTTACATCCAAACAAAATTCTCTTTTTCAGGAGTAGAAATAACTCTGGAAACTCCAGAACTGAGGAGAATCATATGCAGACTGTACTGATAACAATGAGATGCTGCAGATCAGATCCTTTCTTTGTTATTTCCACGAGTCTGTTAAATATTGCACTCTCAATTTCCAGGTGCTGCTTGAAAACAAACTGCATTAGAAACCAAAATCGCTCCCTGGAAAGGGAATTTCCTTATTTCCACAGAGGTTGTGTGTGGGTAGAGGGTTCCGCTGTATGCTACAGGTAACCACGTGGCGATACCGATACTGAAATAAAGGCAGAGCTTTTGCTGGAGAGCTTTTGACAGAAGTTCCTTAGTGATGAAGGGCTACTGACAATATTTTAGATACCCCCCAGGGCCTCTCCCCAGTCAGCGGGGAGAAGCTGCAGAGCCAGCTCAGATGACCAGCCCGCGGAGGTGGCAGATGCAGGCTTCCAGCTGGGAGAGGCCAGGCTCCCACCACACGAGGTGCTAAGGTGAGTCCTCATCCCCTTAGGTACGGAGGCTTTGGTTCTCACTTTGCTTTTCCTTTGGTTTTACGTTATTAAAACAAATGCTAAATCAGAACCATCTTTTTTTTTTAATGGTGCCCTGGTTGCGAAGCTCCTTGTGGTTACGTGGTTGTTGGGGCCATACTCAAGTAATCGGACTAAGAAGTTTTGTTTAGGCCATGGATGGCAAATATTTTACCATAACCATGCTCTACTTACTGGGTGTAATTTTTACACGAATCTCTTTCCTTCAAGCAGCAAACGGCTGAATTCTCTACTACTGAAGCAGCTTGAAAAAGTCCTTTAGATAAAGAAGTGAAAGCTTGGTTCCCTGTACTCAGACGTTTCTTTTTCTGCAGTCAGGATTTTCTCCCCAACACCTTGCCCAGACTGCCCTCCTCTGTTCCTCTGAATGATTCCCCTCTCTGTTTTTCCCTTGTACCTCTAAAAAAGAGAGGCTGGGCCCTGGTAAGTCTGCAGGTCTTCAGACCGGTTTCACCAACAGTCCCGCAAAATAGAACTCAACAACCTTTTAAAGTTTCTATGGATGTGTTTTGTTATAAAATCAAAACTTGCAATGGCCGATGT